TTAATGAATGACACATTTATTTATTTATTTAATTCCACATTTAATTAATTATTGACACATTTAATTATTTATTTAATTTTGGCACTTTTTATCCTCCATATCTATCAGCATGCCAATGTTTTAGGTTTTAGACGCAGGCCGATATTCTGCGATAGTCGCCTTTATTGGCTGCCATAAGACCTGTTCCTGATGTCATTGCTTGTCCTGGAACCATGGCTGCATCCTTTTTCTTCGCAAAGTTCCACCTTCTTTTGTTTGTTTGACAACTGAAACCTTAAACATTAAAGAGGTGAACGGGTGTGAATACTTCTGGAACCACTTTGGGTCACAGAGACACCAGCTGATCCTTTTGTCTTTCCTCCAGGTACGACCAGGCCATAGATCTGTTCACCCGCTCCTGTGCCGGCTACTGCGTGGCCACCTTCATCCTCGGCATCGGTGACCGACACAACAGCAACATCATGGTGAAAGATGACGGACAGGTAGGAGGCGACTGCGTCTGACTCACCCGCTTCCTGTTTAAAAACGCTCTAATGTTTTCTTGTTGTTTTTCTTTGCTGTGTTTTCTTAGCTGTTCCACATAGATTTTGGGCATTTCCTCGACCACAAGAAGAAGAAGTTTGGGTACAAGAGAGAGCGGGTCCCGTTTGTGCTCACGCAGGACTTTCTGATCGTCATCAGCAAAGGAACCCAGGAGTGCACAAAAACCAGAGAATTTGAAAGGTGAGGTCGCCGCAGTTAAACCAACTTTAGTCCAAACTGAGCTTTTTGAATTGGAGAACATTTTAAGCTTTATTTTCGACCAACGCCTCAGTTGACATAATTATTATCTTTGAGAACACAGCGAGACGGATCAGCTCTGCTAATCTGTAGGGTTAATCTGTGCTAGAGGGATCTGAAAAGGTGCCAAATTAAGTGAAGAAAGGGCAATACTTCTTACCATGATGATATTCAAACAGTAAAGCTAATGTTAGCTTAGCTCCTCCTAAGTTCCACATTTAAAGGAAAAGCCGGTCAGCAGGAATAATCAATGGATCATTATTTATACCTAAAACTAATCTGTTCCCAGTAATTTAATGAATTTAGTTAATCAGTAAAAAAAAAAAAGTCTGGGAGCGGCCATTTTTGCCCAAATATAGTAGCCCCTCCCTCCTGCCATCTTCCAGCAGTGACGTCACGGTGCGGTAAGCCTAGCGCCATTCTCCCCGCTTT